AAAAAGAATTATGCTAACGGAGTTCCCCACATAAAGAGATTAACGGTTTCGTGGGACCCATTTTCTTGATGCCCTCCTCGCTCAGGCGGGGCCTCCCTGGAGGTGTGGGAGGGGCACGAAACCATGTAAATAGTATGGTATTCCGATACCCTCCTCGCTCAGGCGGGGCCTCCCTGGAGGGGTGGGTGGGGCACGAAACCATGTAAATAGTATGGTATTCCGATACCCTCCTCGCTCAGGCGGGGCCTCCCTGGAGGGGTGGGAGGGGCACGAAACCATGTAAATAGTATGGTATTCCGATACCCTCCTCGCTCAGGCGGGGCCTCCCTGGAGGGGTGGGAGGGGCACGAAACCATGTAAATAGTATGGTATTCCGATACCCTCCTCGCTCAGGCGGGGCCTCCCTGGAGGGGTGGGAGGGGCACGAAACCATGTAAATAGTATGGTATTCCGATACCCTCCTCGCTCAGGCGGGGCCTCCCTGGAGGGGTGGGAGGGGCACGAAACCATGTAAATAGTATGGTATTCCGATACCCTCCTCGCTCAGGCGGGGCCTCCCTGGAGGGGTGGGAGGGGCACGAAACCATGTAAATAGTATGGTATTCCGATACCCTCCTCGCTCAGGCGGGGCCTCCCTGGAGGGGTGGGAGGGGCACGAAACCATGTAAATAGTATGGTATTCCGATACCCTCCTCGCTCAGGCGGGGCCTCCCTGGAGGGGTGGGAGGGGCACGAAACCAGGTAAATAGTATGGTATTCCGATACCCTCCTCGCTCAGGCGGGGCCTCCCTGGAGGGGTGGGAGGGGCACGAAACCATGTAAATAGTATGGTATTCCGATACCCTCCTCGCTCAGGCGGGGCCTCCCTGGTGGGGTGGGAGGGGCACGAAACCATGTAAATAGTATGGTATTCCGATACCCTCCTCGATCAGGCGGGGCCTCCCTGGAGGGGTGGGAGGGGCACGAAACCATGTAAATAGTATGGTATTCCGATACCCTCCTCGCTCAGGCGGGGCCTCCCTGGAGGTGTGATATGGTATGGTATGCTATGGTACGCCATGGTATGGTATGGTACGGTATGGTACGTATGGTGTGGTATGGTATGGTACGGTATGGTACGTATGGTGTGATATGGTATGGTATGCTATGGTACGCCATGGTATGGTATGGTACGGTATGGTACGTATGGTGTGGTATGGTATGGTACGGTATGGTACGTATGGTGTGGTATGGTATGGTATGGTATGGTATGGTATGTGATGGAGCGGGAGGTGGGTGGGAAGGAGAGGGTGTTCTGGGAAAACAAGAACCCCACTCAGGATGTGGGGAAAAATAAGCATGGAGGAATGATAGCGAATAGCATTATTATAGCGGCGATGCCGAAAACGGCAACCAGGAGTTATCGCTAAATTGTCGGCTTGACCTTCCTGCTAGTCCGCCTGCATACCAAGCTTCAGGTACCAAGGTGCATGGCGCGAAGCGCCACTGCAAACTTGTATATATATATATATATATATATATATCTGTCGATGCTTCCTCTGGCCATCCACACGACGTGCCGAAAGCGAACGACGCCTCCGCGCCAGACGTCGTGGAGGACTGTCGCCCTGGCC